CCCCCCCCCCAGCCCTCCCAGCCCCCAAACAGCGGCCGCACGGTCGAGAGCCACCCGGCGCGCGCGCGCGCGCGCGATCTGCCGCCCCCTCCGCGGGGCCCCCGGCACCCGAGTAGCAGACCGGCGCTGGTGGTGGAGATCTGCACTGCCGACGCGCCGGCACCTTCTCTTCTAGAATATTCAAACGCCCTCAACCTGTCCAAGGGCCGGCCGCGGGCTCCATTCGACGGGGGCCGTGCGCGTGGGAGACGCAGAGATCCCCGCACGGCGGGGGCGCGGACGGCTCGCCCAGCACCCCCAACGCGGCCGTGGCTCAGGCCACCCGGCCCCGCACGCCGCCGCCGGCACGCACGCACGCACGCGCCATGCTCCCCGCGCACGCAACAGCCACCGCCCGGGGCCGTGGAACATGGATGGGGGCCACCAGGGCAGGCCGACAACGAGCCACAGCGTGCGGCATGGACGCAACTGTCCGGCCGGCCAGCGGGCGGACCCTCCACCAAGCCACACTTCCCCGGGCGGCATGAGGCCATCCTCCTGCTGTCCCCGGGGGCGGAAGAGCCCTTCTCGGGCTGCGAGGGATGGCCTGACGCTGCCGTTGCCACAGCAGCTGCAAGGGGAAGGGGGGGGGGGGGGGGGGCCCTCCTGCGGGCGGCGGATTCGGTCTCCCAGTCTCCCCGCGCTCTGCCCATCCCTTGGCCTGTCGGTGCCTGAGGCCCATGCCTTTGGGCTTTCGCTGGCTGACCCCGGGTTCTGGTACATGCGCCGGGGGGGGGGGGGGGGGGGCCATTGCACTGGAGGCACTGCCCAAGCGTGGATGCGGGCATGGAGGTGGCCACCGGCCCCCCCTGCCCGCCCCGCCCCGCCCGGCGGGCAACTTGCATGGGCGGGCCTTGTTTCTGGCGGCCCCATCGGGGAAGGGACGAGGGCAGGGCCGAGGCGCGGATCTTGCCGGGCATGCGTATGTGTGCCTGCGCGCCTCCCCCCCCCCGGCGCCGGCTCGCCGGGTGGCGAACATCGAACCCTAAATAACTATATTCCGAATGCCATTCGCATCAGAACGTCCACCCCACGCCTGGTTGCACCCTGTTCGTCCTTCCCAACTGGCAGACGCGCACGTGCATGCTATTGGTCGAGTAGATACCGTGTGCTCCAAAGATAGCACGGAGGAGGCATGCTTCTGGGCGGCCCTCAGCAGATGCCGTGCCCAGGGCAGTGGTACTCTCCGCCCTCTTGGAAGCGCGGGTGTGCGTGCACGCGCGCCTGCACCCCGGGCGGCGGATTGCCAAAGAGGAAAAGCAGTGTCCCGTGTAGGAGGACAAGGGGGATCGATCTTTCTTTGTATTGCGTCCCTTGCTCCCGGAGTGTGCCAGGCGCCGCTGAGGCGTCGGGGGGGGGGGGAGCTTGGGGAAGGAGCCGAAGAGCTGTACACAGGGAGAGCGCTGCCGGAAGCAGGAGCACACTCGCGGGCAAGTGGGCGCCCCCTAGGCACGCCAGCTGGGGGTAGTGCATCCGTCCACAAGGGGCAAGGGAGAGGGAGGGAAAGAGAGAGAGAGAGAGAGAGAGAGAGAGAGAGAGAGAGAGGGAGGGAAAGAGAGAGAGAGAGAGAGAGAGAGAGAGAGAGAGGGGGGGTCAGAATTGCAGGTGGGCCGATGGCAGGGCACAGAGAAACCCGCCCGATGTGAAACGGTGTGTCGGCGCAGGGCAAGACGCACAGCTTGAGGACCTTGTCCTTGCCGCCACTGGCGACCATATTCCCGTCCGGGCTCCAGTCGACGGCGTACACCTCGTCCGCGTGGCCGGGCAATTCGAAGCGCAGCTTCTTCGTGCGGACGTCCCACACCTACAAACCCGGGATAGGGCAAGAGAAGCGGGGGGGGCGAAGAGGAAGGAAAAGGACACCCGCAACGGGAGGGCACGACAGTCAGAGGCCAGCGGAGCCAAAGAGAGGGGGGAGGGGCACACACACACACACACACACACAGATAGATAAATAAACAGGCAGACGGTGCAACAGAGAACGTGTCGGGGCGAAAAAGCGACCCACGTACCTTCAGCGTGGAGTCCTTGCTGGCGCTGATGAGCAGGCGCGAGTCCGATGACCAGGCCACCTGGTAGACGGACTGGACGTGACCGCGGAAGTTCCCGACGAACCTGCATCGCGCAAGAGTGGCGGCGGAAGCGGCGGCGGCGGCGGCGGAGGCGGGCACGAGCAAAAAGCCGAGGAAGGGCGTGAGTCGGCGAGCATAAAGGGCCATGCCGTGTTGCGGATGGAGGGGGATGGGGAGGTTCCCGCCCTCTCGTCGGGGTGCAACAGCGGAGGAGGAAATGCGGACGAGGCCGGGGGGGGGGGGGGGGAGAAAAAAAAACATACTTGCCGTTGGTGCCGTCCCACAGCTTGACCGACTTGTCGAAGGAGGCACTGGCGATCCACCGGCCGTCGGGGGAGAAAACAACATGGTTGACCAGCTGCTGGTGACCGGTCAGCCGGGCGATGGGCTTCCGCTCGCGCGACGGATCCCACAGGAACAGGGTGAAGTCGTCCGAGCCGGAAATCATGCGCTCGCCCGCACCGCGGACCTCCTGATAGCGCTTCAGGGCAACGGCCTTGGCCTCGGCATCTGAGGCGGGGCGCTTGCCGGTGTGGTCGAAGGGCCCGGTGCGCAGGATGTAATCCGTGTGCAGGGTCAGCGAGTTGACCTGGTCGAATGTGGAGGATGGGGGGGATGGAGGGGGAGGGTCAGAGGTCCAGCACGCGAAGCTGGGGGCAGGGGCGGCATACACACGACGGCGGGCGAAGGAACCAGCGATGAACAAGGGAGACAACACGAGGGGGGCGGGGGAAAGATAGATGGGAGGAGAAGACGCCCGGGAGGGCCACGAAGGGGGGAGAAGGAGGCAAAGAAACAGAAGCGGAAAAGACCCGGGCCGGGTGGCGTACCCAGTGGCCGTGGCCCTGCAGAGTCCGGCAGATCTTGCCCTACACAAGTGGGTAGGGAAGGGGAAGGGGAAATTTGGTCAGCACCAAGCACAAGAGTCACCACAAGGGCGCTGTCCGCCCGCCCCCCCCCCCCCCCCCCCCCCCCCGGCCGCCTGCTTGCCCCGGGGGCCGGGGGACCGCCGCCACGTACATCCTTGGCATCCCACACCTTGATGGTCCGGTCACGGCTGGCCGTGTAGATGAGCCCCTCGCCGCCCCAGCGGACGCAGCTGACCGCATCCGTGTGCTGAGCCAGCGAGAAGCAGGTCACCCCGCGCACGGTGTCCCAAATGCGCACGGTGCCATCCTTGGAAGAGGAGGCCAAGCGCGGAACACCATCGGCACTGGGGAGGAGGGGCGCGGCGGGGCGGGAGGAAGGCAGGGGAATCACTCGCGTCAGTGCCAGCCGCAAGAGGAGGGGCGAGGGGGGGG